GTCCTTATTTGGAGACACATGATATGAGACTATAGTATCTAGAAACCGCACATTGCCACGATGTGCCTTCTCATCTCCAGGAAGGCTAGATCGTCTTCAGAACTATTGTCAACTTCTTCCATGGCAACAGAACCTTGGTTCTTATGATTCTCTTTATTTCTGTGACAATTGTACTTCCAATTCCCCACTTCGTTACAGATGTGATAGGTGTCGCTTGGCTGTTGACCGGGACCCTTAGAATTCATGTTTATGTTCGAATTCCCTTTACCAGATTTCTTCTTTCCCTTTCCACCTGTAACAGCCAACCCGGACGCTTCACCACCTGTACTAGATCCGGACGCCTTATGCCTGATCTCTCTCGTGTGAAGAGCAGATCAGACATCCTCCAACGACAACTATCTTTGCCAGCAATAAAAGAATCCATGAAATTCTCATATGAACTCGAAAAAGACACAAGCAGGATTAGGGCAAAATCTTCGTCACCAACTCTCACATCTATATTGCATAAGTATAATAAAATAGAATTAAGTTGTTCCAAATGTTCCCTCAAAGACATGCATAACCCTTAGGTTGCTAAGCATATACTTGCACAAACCTAAGGATACTAAGCACAAACATGCACAATCAAGATTAATAATACCTCAAACATTTGAATTAAACAATACCCAATGACAATCATTCAATTCACATAAAAGAAAACTACATGGTTGAGTTAGGGTTTCACAACACCTAAGTGAAAAGAATTCTACTCCATGCTCGAAATGGGAGAAACACAAGGAGAAGGGGCAAAAACCATCTTGGAGGAGGCTTCCAATCTTGTTGGCCCTTGTGTTGAACTTTCCTTGATGAAAATCTTCCCAAAATCCACCTTGGAGCAAAACCCTAGCCTCCTTCTTCTTTGGTTCGTGTTTCTCTCTCTAAAAATCAGAAGAAGGCTTTCTCACTCAAATGGGCTCTCTCCCTCTCTTCATTTCAGCTCAGCTTTTAAACAGGGAACGAGCTATGTTCACGGCTCCAGTTCACGGCCGTGAACACTGAAACACGTCCGTAAACTCCAATTGGGCGCCAACATGCACCGCTTTGCTTCCACTGGTTCACGGTCTTAGCGACCGTGAACACAATTGGCGTTAGTAACTTGCATTTTGGCTCTAGACGCCTCAAAATTCACGGCCAATGGCTCTTCTTCATGGTCCTACAAGGGAAAACCGTGAACTCACCATTTTTCACCTATTCTCCCGATTTTCTATCCTTTTCATCCAACTTTTGACTCCAAGGCTGGTTTCACCTGTTAAATCCTGAAACACACTAAAACACGAGAAACCTAGCGTAAAACCAACCTTTTAGGAGCGAATTTGTCACAAATGACTAAGGAAAACGGGGGCAAAACATGTACAATTAGGCCCGAATCAGATGCAGCTTGTTGGTTAAAGATTTCTTCATATATAGACTCTCCAACTTCAACCACAAGCTTGTGACAGTCTTCTCAGTAGCGACTTCAATGATGACATCATCAAACAGTGATAGCATGATGGCCGAGTAGGCCTTCTCCTCTAGGTTATTCCACTCATCGTCATCGACCACTGTCTTTTTCTGTTTTGCAGACAACGGCCCCCACAACCCTTGTTCTTTCAATAAAGCCTGCATCTTAATCTTCCATATACTGAAACTGTTCTTCCCCATGCACTTCTCGATCTTCATGTTTACCAACATCATTCTTCATAATCGAAACCCTAGCCTAATTTCCAACCGGGCTGTGATACCACTTGTCATGACTATTTTCTGCGGATTGGGGAATAGGAGGATTTGACAAAGCAAGAATACGAAAGCACAAACACACACGACACACAATTTGCGTGATTCACTAACACAATGTGTGTTAGCTAGTCCACGGGTAGGAGAGAGCCAGTTTCAGTACTTCGGGGAGATACAAATTATAGAGTCATATGAGAAGTATTTATAGTACTTCTCCTTGGTCTAACCCTAATCCAATTGGTAAAGGAAAAGTGGGTGACTTTTCGGTGACTTCGACCCAAAGAAAATCCAAGCAACCATCATCCTTTTCTTCAACCTCATCTCTCTCTTTAGCTCAATATCATCCCCAATTGAAGGCTCAAGTTCATCTTCATCTCCGCTTCGTTCTTCATCCAAGCTCCATTCTTCTTCTTCTTCCTCTTGTTCAATAGGGACAATGACGTAGTCTTGAGCAAGGTCTTCACTAGATGATCCATCATTCTCTTCTTGCTCTTCCACCACTTTTATCACTTCTTCCTCCTTTCTATATCCACATTTTATGTAGAAGCAACCCGGAGGAAGGCGAGGGTCACTAGTGTCAATTCACTCGTACCCTATATTGAAGCGCTTCATGGCCAAATTTGTCCTGATTTTGATCTTTGATAGTGGTGGTGATGAAAAACCTCTTCCTTCTTGAAGTTTGAGCTCGCTCCCTTTTCCCTTGACCCATTTTTCTAGGCTCGCCGGACGATCTTGAGCAAGGCACACAATTGCCTTGTCTCATTTCTTTGTCAAAGCATATCTTCGGACTCCAGTAGAAGGTCGAAAAGGAGTGGATTTGCATAAGCCTCCATTGTGGAATGAAATCTCTCACTCTTCATCAAGAAGTTTTCCAATTCATACTACAAGCTTGATTTAGGCTCCGGGAATGATGGAGGATTCCACTAATGGCACGAAGGGCTTTCTTCTCGATATGGTGGACAAAATTGATACCCTTGGGGGTATTTTTATTGATCGTGGAGAGGGGTTGATCTTGGATACCCATCTTCTTGGATTATATCATCACGTGATGCCCCGAGATACCACCAATTGGTCAGTTGGTGACATCGTCCATTGTTGTGCCAGTCACTGGGATCCATATCTACACCAATACACACAAAAACAAAAACAACCTATAAAAGAAAAATTGTGAAAAGATAAAACAAAAGACTAACAACAACCTAACACAAGATAACTAAAGGAAACATAACAAAAGAAAAAGAATACGTGAAAGAAAATACGACATCTTTTTTATGAATGGCTACGATTTATTTCATCAAAAGAAGTTTACTGTAGACAACATCTATTGCCACTAGGTATACACTATAACATCAAAATCAAGAACTATTGTGCCCTATCCTTAGCCAAGAACATAGACAACTTCAAACAACCAGATCACAAGAAGATTTCCAGCTCTTCGGGACTACATCACACTTCCAAGTCTTTTATCAACTACCGCTTTACTTCTGTAATGCTCAATACCACTTTCCATGCTTAGCACCACACCTTCCTCACCATATATTGCTTAGAAGAGCCTGCCATATAAAGCGACCCGCCTTGCAATGTAGTTCAGACCCATAGAAAGAAACCACTACCTAATGAAGCTCTTCTTCCCAAGTATCAGATGTGTATCTAGAAGAGAAATTTCAGAATAAAACCTAGAATAGTTCCTTGTATCTATTACACTTAGAAAAAGATGTTTAAGAGATTCTCAGCAAAATCACAACAGACACACTTGAAACTGCCCTGATATCCCCAACTGATCAATATATCACCAGTGGTGATAACCCCTTGGTAATCAGCCAGCAAATAAACTGATTTCTAGGAATAACAAGGTTCCTCTAGATAAGTTTATGCCAATCCACCACAGCTAACTTCGGACGAAAGAATTCCCATACCTACTTTAGAGGAAACTTCTTTTTTCATCTTACCATCCTAGTAACCAATTCTATTATCAACAATAAGATGCCCTTGAACTTGCTCTCTGAACTTGAGAATTTTTAGCCAAAGCCAAGAACCAGACTGACCACTTACTGACCAAAATACAACATCATGAACACAATATAAGATACACAAAAACAAAATAGAAAACATACAAAATGATAAAAAGACTAGTGTAGAGTTTCTTGGATTTTCCTAATAACCTAAGAATTCACTGGCAGTGGCGCTAAAAACTTGACAAGCTTTGCAATTTATAAGCTCAATCAATTGCAACACTAGCGACTCTATTTCAAGCCAAGTACTAATTAGGTAGTATAACAACTATCAAGGTCATGTATCAAAGGTCCCTAGACTTACTATTATTTCGCTCCGACCTTCTATCTAATAAAATAGAAAATATTTGTTTAATAACTATAGTAACCTGCCTAACTAAACAACCAACTAAGTAGTTGGGAGGTTGCTAGAGATGAGATGGTTGTATAGGATCGAATTCTTCTGGTAGTAGGATAGGAAGTATATTGAAGTCTATGGTTGTCTGAAGTGCAGAGGTCACTTAGGTACTTAGGTGGGGGTTGGTGTAATGGCCATGTCTCCCGATCCTCCTTCTAGTAGCGTCCACCAGCTCAATGTCGCAACATTCGGCTTCCCCGACTAGAGGTAAGCTCTACCTCCTCTAAATGGGTTCTACCCATCCGCGCACAAGTCGGATAAGTCAATGGCCATGCACTTACTTGACAAGCATTAATTAGGTGAGTACCTAACTAAAAGGGGATGGTCAGCTAGTCCGCTTGCTAGGACTCTGTATCATATACCCTAGTATGGAAGCAATCAACACCATTCACATGTGTAACCCAAGAGCCAACACATGAAAAATACCATATAAAGCATCTAAGCCATAGAAAAAAGCATTAAAACACTAATTGAACACAAATAATACCATATATCTTTCAATCCACAAACCCTAGCTACATACTAGAATTCATCTACCCTAAACAACCTTAGTGTTTTAAGTCATAGAGAAAGAGAAGAAATACAAACAGAGAAGAGAGAAAATTCTTAAAGCCATCCTTTTCTCCTTGGATTGCACCCTTCTCCATGGATCTTGGTTGTGGTCTTCCTCCTTGAGCTCTGATATGACAAAAGTACGCAGCCAACTATGATCTTGTATTTTCTTATTATCTTCTTCTCCAACTCGAAAATAAAGGATAGATTGAGGAACCAATCGGACAGGTCCAACACGTGGAAAGGGGCAATTGATATAAAGATCAATTGGAAAATCCCATCTCGTGGAAAAATGACAATTGGTATAGGGTAGAAGCTCCCTGCAACTAGAAGTGTTCTTCTATTTGATAATAGACATGTACAACCTCCTGGAATCCTCGACAGAAAGCTTGCAAAAAGTTCACGAATGAGCATGATTAAACACTCTATAACTTGATGATAAAACTTTAATTGTGTACAAATTCGTAGGTCTTACACCCTCTACTTATAGAGGTCACAAAAACATAAATCTAACCTTATAAGAATAGGAAAAAAATTCCAAACTAGCTAGAAAACATAATAAAGATTAAATAAGGTCTAAAAATCGTTTTTATTACTAAAGAAAGCTCTTTAGCCGCTAAGTAATCTCTAAAACTCGTTTTTAATGCTTGAGGAAGCTCTTTAGCGGTTAAGCAATCTCCCTCATTCTCTTTTTCACACTTGGACGACTTGGGCATCCAGAATGTCTTACTTGGGTAGAAAGAAAGTCCTTAAAGGTTTTGGTCCTTAAACATGTCCTATTTCAATTAATATGTAATAAACCAGCTCTCCACTTTCATCCAGGCCTGATCACGACTCACAACTGATCCTTATACCTCAAAATGTGTAATAGTAAGCAACCCATTTATCCATCAAGAACGTTCCCAACTAATCATTATACCTCTGGATTCGAACCTTCATCTTTGGACCACAAGAACTAAATATCTTGTCTACTGATTTTACATCATCAAATTCCTAAGCCTTGCTTGTCAAGGCATTTTCACCTATCTTGAATGCTCTCATGCTCTCTTTGAACCTCTAAATTCGTCTCTTGTTCCATGGTCCATGTGAAGAGATTATTTGACCTCGAATAAAATCATAAGGGGTGAGAGTGATCGCATCATTACCTCCCTCTTGAAAAACAATTGCCCTCAAATCTTGCTGCCACATATATATGAGTTCCCATGGGGAAAATTATCAAGGGTAATTACCGGAAAAAAATTATCAAGGGTGGCAGAACGTGATGTCAACACTCAAACCGTGAAAATCACATGGTTCCAGGAGGGTGTATGCTCTTACGAGGGAGGAAGATGGGGATCAGATTCAGTACAACCCGACTTGGAAGGCTCCTTGGAGGATCCCGAGCCACAGCAAATAAAAACTTTGTTCTGGTTGGTGCTCCACAACCGACTGCTTAAGAATGCAGAGAGGCTCCATCGTCATTGGAGCCAACGGATAAGTGTCCCATATGAGGAGGAGGGCCTGAGATTTCCATCCATGTCACGCAGGACTGTGCCTACCCTTGCGACGTGTGGTCCTATTTCTTAGCAGATGAGCCCGATCGAGACTTTTTTCAGGCGGACATTCCACGTTGGGGACTCCATTACTTGACAGATCGCAGCCCCATGGTGGGCGCGTCAATTTTCGCACTTGTTTGTTGGCAACTTTGGAAGAACCAGAATGCTTGGGTCTTTGAGAAGCAATTGGCGGTACCTGTAAACTTGGTTGCACGAATAAAGAAGCCACGGAGCCAATTTTCCTTGGACTTTCAAGCGTCGTAGAGCTTTACAGGCGAGGAAACCGGAGGTCCCTCAGACATATCACCTAGCAAAGTCCACCGAACGGGTGGGCAAGCCTGCATACAGATGGCTCAGTGATTCTGGCTCAGTGATTCTGGCTCAGAATAGTGATGCGAAAAGGGGGATGATAAGGAGGAATGACGGACGAATGCTTAAGGCATTCTCGATGAACCTAGGTGGCGGATCAATTACCCATGTAGAGCTGGCAAGCATCAAGCGGGGACTTTGCATTTCCTGGGACATGGGACTTCGAAAGCTCGTGATTCAGATCGACTCTGTGACAACCATTTTGTTAATACAGGTAGATACCTCGAGCCACCCACATCGTATGCCATTGAAGTCTATTCGACGGTTCTTGGCTTTGGATTGGGAGATTACTATTGGGCATGTTTTTCGGGAGGGAAATTTTGTTGTCGATTATCTAGCTTCTCTGGGATGAATGAATTGGATTGGGAATCCTCGAAACGAAAACCCCAAAATATTTCGAGCGGGTTAAAGTGTGAAGATAGTGTCCGACTAACAATTGTTTTGATCTCTTTTTGGCAAATTGGTCATCCACAAAGGTCCATTCCGACTCCAGGAAGTATTCCTCACATCACTGCAAGCTTTGAACCCTCTGGAACATATCTATTATGAAGCTGACGATGTTCTGACAAAGAAGATGTTCGAGTATACTACTGTCAATCCAATTCGGGAACAGTTTAGTGAAGTTTTTGAGCAAACGAAGTTCCAAACTTTGAGGTCAAAGCTTTTTGAAGTGGGGGGGGGGGGGGGCTTATAAAATCCAAATTAACCAAGACAATGAGTTGTTATTACTTGCCAAATAAGCTATCCAAGTTGGCAAGAAAAGGGGCAGAATTTGGCTAAGTGTCAAATTCATATCATGGTGCCTACTTTGGAGGTTTATTCGATCTGGAGGAGGAAGATTCGAAGCAAAACGGACTTGTTACAAGAAAGTAAAACATTTTCTGAACAACCTAAAGGAATTGGATGATCAAGGGCATCCCTCTAAGGCATCAAACGTAAGTGTACAAGATCGTATGAAGCCTCAAATTCTGCCTTGCACCATAAGAAATTATATTTTCTTGTTACATTAGAATTCTTACTCTTTTTCTGTTTTGTTTTTAGTTTTCGTGTTCAATGGCCTTTAGAACATCTTTTGTAGTTGGATAGTGTAGCTAGTTCTATTTAAAGCCTTCTCTATTGCATTGTTAAAGAGATTATGTTGTTGAGTACAAACCTTGAGTTTAGGTTCATTAAACTTGCTGCTTTGTGAATTTGTTTGAGTAGCTTAGTGGATTCTAAGTTGCTTGATTGCTTGTATTGATCAATTACACACATTGATCGTGGCCTTGATTCTACCTATACTTCTCGAGCCTTCTTCCTTGTGAAAGATTACACGAAAGTTTTATCCAAAAATACCTACAAACCCTACCATGTTTGTGTTCAAGTTTCAACTCGATCCTTCAATTGAGGGCTGCTTGAACTCTGATCAAGACCACCCATCTTGGGTTGCATGAAGGACGCCCAAACATCCAAATGGGAAACATCAAAAGGTCGAATACTCGTCAAACTAGAGACTGAAAAAGGAAGTTAGTGACTCTTATTGTGAAGACACAAATCACAAAAAAGAAATCATATTCCTTAGAAACTAGAAGTGAACGATTATGAAGTAAACTTGATAAGGACCTAGCCAAGGAATGACAAAGTTGGTATTGTCAAGAAGATGAGGAAGTACGATTGGTGACCAATGCCAGACAAACCACTTATTTCGTTTGGTAATTAATAGACATCACGATGATTCTTTCCCCTCAGTAGTGGCACCCACATGCTTAGATCCTTCATCACAAGTTCACAACAACAATTAGCAAAAAATTCAATTGAAATTGGATTAGTGTGACATAATTTTGCCATCGATAACCAACACTTTTTAATTGCTAGAACGCATAAAGTGGCATCCAATTTCAATGAATTAACACAATTAGTAATTGTAGAAGATCCAATATGAGTCATTTTCAAACAAGACCCATTCCTAACAACATGCATCTCATCCCAAAGTGAGCAAAGACAGGTATAGAATGTCAATACAATGAGTTTTTCTAACCTTAGAGGGTCGATGTTTCTCCGTAGTTCATAGGCTCTTTGTGTCGAACCTCTGCTGAACCAACTTTGGAGATTATATCATATCGCACATGCAGTGGTGACTGTCACGACATTATTTCTGAGCTCTCGAGTCATAGCATTCTTGAGCTACCCCTTTACATTTGCATCACATGTATCCCATGCTTCTTGTCGAATTTCAGATCCTACCTTTAATCATATCGACAAAAGTCATCTTGTTTTTGGCGATTAGGGTTTTCATCATGTCATTAATCCATTCACCATAGTTTGAGTCATTCAACAGATCGGTCTCAAACAATTGTGCTAGATTTTCCAAAGGAGGGAGATAGATAGGTGAATTGAGTTGGATTATATTTGTGCTTGTGCTTGAAACAATCTTGCCGCTACCTTTCTCTTCGTCCGACTTCATGAAATAAAAATAGAAGTAAGTTGAATCCTAGTGCACTGATACCATTTAAGATTGTATAATAGCTGAAAAGAAATAACACAAAAATTTACATGGTTTCCCAGAATATTAAGACTAGTCCACAGAGAACAAGACTCTTAAGTTTCAATTATCCTTTTTACTATGATCTGCAGAAAATGAGTTATGTCTCTTGTGTTCGAAGGACCGGCGACCAAACCACTTATACCCTAGACAATCAACATGAGTATAAAAGGTTTATGGTACATTTGCATGGAAGAAGCCATTCTCTCTCTACCTTTCCTTTTTGAAATTTGCTATGTCTTCTCTCTTGTTCTAGTCTTCCTTTTCTGATTTCAGGGGCTGCCGCCGGCTCCTTTTAGGTGACCGGCAGTGGCCCAAAGTTTTTATTTTCCTGTTTTTTGTTTCTTTATCATGCTTTGTTTCCTTTGCCTGAGTCCTGGGCAGTTTTCAATCGGATTTCCAGTCGTTGTGGCTTTCAGTTTTCTCCTTTCCTGTCGAGCTATGGCTCTTCTTTCAGATCTAGGTTCTCGGTTCTTGGTTCTTGGGCATGCTCGTCGTAGGAGATGGAGTATGCAACTTGGGAGCCTCTTCCAGATATGGATGGTGGGGTAGTCCCTCATTGGTGGCCTCATCTTCAAGATGAAGCCATTCCCTTCTTTTTCTCTTCGACCTCCCTAGGTGTTTGAGTGGCTTGGTGAGTCGTCGGATGGTGGTAGGTTGGGTCTTCTCCGGTGGTAATGGTTGAGAATCGATGTTTTCGTGGAGTTTGTGGCTACCTTGGGAGCTTCTGCTCTTCTTCAAACCTGATCTCTCTGCCTCGGCCTTTTTCTGCCTCTTCAGCTTGGAACAATCTGGTTCATATCCTCTTCCACCGCCACGCAGTCTAGTTTCTAGATTCATTGTGATGGATGCCTTTGAGTTTTCCCCAAGAGGCGGCACATGGAGTGATGATGTTCACCTACCATGGATTTTGATATGATCGGACAAGCTGATTGTGGTTTTGTTGCACTTTGATTGGTTGTTTGCAAGAGAGATTCATGATGATCTTTTTCAGTCAAGGGTTTTGCTCTTTTGGGTGGTTGCTTGCAGACTGTGTTTTGTTCTTTATTGTTGCATTTTCTCTTACTCAGCTTTGTTTGTAACCGAATGCCCTTGGGCTTCCTCTTGTTGGAACCAGATTGTTGGTTCGTTCTCCCTCTTTGTAACTGGCCAGTTTTAAGTGCAATAAAGTCCCCCTTTGTCAAAAAAAAAAACATGAGTATAAGCGGTAAATTACAAATCAATACATCAGTGAACCAAAATTAACGAGTCCAATTCCAATATTAAATCTCCCATTTTTTTATTAATCTATTGATAGAATGAGTTTAAGCAACTTCATATTTCATGAAGATTTCAGCATAAAATACTTCATAAAGATTTGTAAAAAAAAATCCCCTTATCTCACCGGATTAATTTGAGGGACTGAAGCGTGAACGAAGGGTTGGACAGAGTCGACACTCGACAGACATAGGGCTGATGTTCTGCTACATCATCGGCTGGCCTTTTCCACTTTGTGGGAGGTTTCTTCTCGTACGTGGCAAACAACAAGCCGATGTACGTCACGTCTCTCTCGTTCTGTTTTGTGCATTCCATTTTCCTTCTTTCGTGTTTGCTTTCCTCGGGGCTTTTTGTTTTGTTGCCTTTCCTTCTACTAATTGCTGAAAGCTCTGCCTTTCGTCCCGCAAAATTTGACCTTAACCCGTCTGAAACCCTCTGTCTTCTTTCCGCCCCTTCAATCCTGCGGCCTCCGCTCTCAGTTGTCAAAGTTAGCAGGTAGGTATCTTCCCCACCATAATCTGCTGTTTTGGTCGTTTGCTTGGGTAAGTTGGGTGACCGAATTTCTTCTTTGGGTGTTGGGATACCAGTGCTCTCTGTTAATTGCCCTTTCCGATCAGGCTTGCTTTTTCTGGGTTCTATTGACCGGAGCCTGGAGTTATTTCTTAATTCATTTCTATGGTTTGCAAAGTGGGCCGCTTTCAGGGTTTTCCCCTCTTTGTGGGTTTATCACTGGGAATTACTCAATATACGTCATTTCTCGAATCAGGATGTTGAGAGCTTTCAGTGAACTGTTTGTCCAGGGCCGTGCTCTCATTTTAACGACCTGGTAGTTGGTCCATCTCCAAGCTAAGCTTTTGTGTGTTATATATATGTCAACCCTTGTTTTGTTTTCGTTTAGGTTCTGCATTCTGCTCTTCCTTGGGCCTTCGCAGGAATTGTTTTGGGTGATCAGATGTTGAAAGTCCCGTATAACTTATACGAAGATCTCATCTTATTAACTGAGCATGTTCCCGGCCGTTATCTAACTATACTGTAGCTTTTCTTTGTGGGTTTTGCTCCTGGCTTCATTTTAAGAACTCTGCTCTTCTTGGGACCCCTTATCTTACCTCTTCTTAGCTAATGGCTATGGAATTGTAAGCATTATATTTTTTAGGGCTTACTGCTTTCTCTTTCTTCTTGTGGGGAACTGAATAAATTTTTTAAATTGTTGTCTTGCAGAACCAAGTGGAAGTGATTAGAATCTGACCAAGTTGTGCCGCATAGCTAAACAGCTTAGCATATTTGTGGGTTAACGTGTGCCCAAGATGGATCTAAAAGGCATCACCTGGGTTGGAGATGTTTATGAGAAGTTCGAAACTATGTGTTTGGAAGTGGAAGAAACTATGTATGAGGTATGTGCTCGCTCCATTTGATATTATGGTGATTTACTCCGAGATCTTCAATTCAAAATTACAGTGGGGCTTCCATTTAATCAAGATATACGGGCAAAAAATTGTAATAGTCTAGCGGGAAAATATTTGATTCAAGGGTCCTTTCTTTTTCTTTAATTAATGGTATGAGCTTCCATGTAATAAAGATATCTCCCTCCTGTTCCTTTTTACTGAAATAGGACACAGTTAAATATGTGGAGAATCAAGTGCAGACAGTTGGTGCTAGCATGAAGAAGTTCTATGCAGAAGTCATGCAGGATTTGTTACCCCCAGGTTCGGAAGATCCTGCAAAGGGTACTACTTCTGGTAGGTCTGAAGAACTGTACACTGATCTGGGGATATACTTGAAGCCGAAAGTGACCATGAAGAACAATTTTATTAAGTTTCACGATAAGGGGCAGTTGAGTGAGCCTTTGATAAAAGTTAGTGCAAAATGTCCAGACCTTCCGCCTGCCTTTCTTTGCCATGTAGATAATCTTTTCCCTCTCTATCAAGGAGACTCTGCCAGAAGTGTCCCAGGGAAATATACAAAAGTAAGTCTGTCAAAAAAGTTCGATGTTGGAATCATCAAGAGCTCTAGGCCGGAGTCGATCTATCAAGATGACATGTCAGGGTTTGCTTCTCCTGTTACTAAATCTTTGTCACGTAAGCACTCAATTATAAGTCACGAAGCATCATTTGATCAGCTAGCTACACTTGCAAGTTCAGGTTCTGGCCATATTTCTGGACATGACCCTGTTGAAAAAAGCAACACTGAGGTGGCTGAGCCAAAAGCAGCAGTGCCTGTTCTTTCAGCTGGTTATATGTTCTCTGATAGAGCCAATGCCCTAGAGTCGGGGAATTGTGAGCGTTTGGATGCAAGACTTCCTTCTTCCGATAACCCTTTAGCAGAATCAAATGGCATCTATGTGTCTGAGGGTAATTTCATTTTTCCAGCTTTGTAATAAACTTTTCATTAGTTCTGCTTTTGGTTCTGATTTGACAACTGCAGGTGAGTCCTCTACAAATACAACCGCACTATCCAGGAAGTTTGCTTATACCGAGGACTACACTTCTAATTCAGGTACGTGTGTGGATCCGGTATCTTCTGGTCAAGAAGATGAAGGAAACATATCTATGTAATTTTAGTTTATCTTTATTAGAGGACTAAAAGTTATTGGTTTGCTCATGACCTTCAGTTTTGGGTTCTTAACCTATCATTCCTGACAAAACTTATTATGATGTGTTTCTCTCTACATTTGTTTTCAATCGTTTTTAGGTCCACAATTAGTTTAAATCACTTAGTATTTAATATGAATAATTCGATGTCAATCGAAGAACGTCTCAATCTAAGTTCTGGACATTTAGTATGATCACAATGTTTGTGTTTTGTTTCAAAATGAATTTTACTTACCGTATTCTTTGCAAGAGACGCAAGGGAGGTCATAATGTATGATGCCGTGTTGATCATTCATTTATTCTGTGGAAATTACATTTCAGGAAGGCCCAGCGACTGGGATATAAACATGATTGTTGACGATGGTTCCACTTATCAGGACCCGGGAAATTATGGACAAACTGACCAGTCAAATCTCGAGCAGAGTTCTATTGATCAAGAAATGGAAAGTGATCAACAGGTTGACCTGGCCTTGCTCGAGGAAACGTGCATTGTTGTCAGTGAAGATGAATTTGATTTTGTATCTCACCCTAAAGGAAAAGGTTATCCTTACAAGGTATCTCCCTTTAGCCTTCTCTTACCGGCCTAGATGACCAAAAGGTATTCTGATGGTAACATACTTTAAAACGTTATTGTTCTTTCCAGAAGAGATTGAAGCATGTTTTAAGGTCATTGAGGAAGCAGCAACAAGAAAAACTTGCAGAATTAAAGTCTGTTGCGAGAGGTTCAGCATCAGGTGCTACGAGTGTGGGAGCTGCCAAATCCCAGGCCCTCGAAGCTGAATGGGAGCTAATATAGGTAACGAGATGCCAATTTATTATTTACATATGTATATACAACATAATTTTCACCAGCTTATACTGCCTCCATTAGTGTGTATATAAAAGGTTTAGTAGAGAAATAGTTTCATTAGCTATGCTGGGGAATTGGGTACTGCATAATGTAACTTCTCCAGATGCTGTAAATTCGTGTAACCACTCAATCGTTAATTGTAAAAGTAGCAAATGTATTATTAGATGGCTCATCGCTGCTGCTATTTCTATTTGTTTATCATGCTCGCAAGACGCAAATAATTCTTCCTGTCAGTGGCGGATAGGGATGGCAATCAAACCCATGGCCGCGGGTACCCGACCGCCCCCGATCCAGTCAACACGGGGAATCCCCGCTTTGACCGGGTATGGGGCGGGTATGGGTAAAACCCGCAAAAAGTTTGATGGGTATGGGGCGGGTATGGTTTTAGCCTCCCCCGCCCCATACCCATACCCGCCCCACCAAGAGAATTTCTTCACATATCAAAAAATATGTGGATTAAATTGTAATCTATCAATGATGATGATGATAACTCGAGAAAATAAATAGTAGAAATGCAATTGAGTAACCACCTTAAACAAAACCTAATTGATTTCCCTCAATTCTCCTTCCACTCTTTCACTTTCCCCCTTGTCAACAAGATTATGTTAGTTAATTATTACTTAGTAAATGTATCAAGAGTTAGAGCATAATAATTTAAAAATATTATAGTCTATATTATTATGTATTAATGGATGTTTTAGGATCATATTCTTTGAATCGTATTTAGAAAATGACCGTGTTTTGTTGACTTCATGATATATAGGTTTATTTATGGTTATAATTAAAACTTTTCTTGTAAGTTTTAGGTATAATAATGTTGGATGTACGGGGATGGGTATTACCCATGGGTACCCGAAACCCATGGGTATGGGGATGGGTTTCCAAAACATTCCCCCGCATGGGTATGGGGCGGGTATGGGTTTGGGTGTTTGAAGATGGGGATGGGGATGGTTTAGGCAAACCCGCCCCAAACCCGCCCCATTGCCATCCCTAGTGGCGGAGCATGTTGTATTGAGGGGGAGTAATGCGTCTTAATTCATGCTCGCAAATAATTCCATGTGTTCAGGAGGAGTTATGCCTCTTAATTTTTAAATATAGGTAAATTTATCTGTAAAATTTGTAACAAAATTATAAAATAGGGATAAATTGCAAGGTTGGTCGCTAGCATTACTAAAAACGTTCATGTTTGATCACTAGAAATATTTAATTCCATTAGTGGTCACTAAGATTATTTAAACAGTTCAAGTTTGGTCACTCTCCGTTAGTCTTCTTTCAACTCCGTTAATTGACTCCGTTAAGTACGGATATGGCAAACAGAAGTGCTCTATTGGACTAACAGAAATGCCACATCACCTGCCACGTTATTAAAACTTGCCATGTCAAATTCTCCCAACCCAAACCTTAAACCGGCTCGATCTACAAACTGACCCTAGCACAAAAGATCAAAACAACTTTCACTTTCGCCCAATCCCCTCTTTCTACCCACTCTCTCTTCTGTTCTTCATCCGCAAATAAGGAATCGCCACAAAAAAATTGACTCGTACTCTCTTCTGTTCTTCGTTGAGAAGCAGAGGAGTTGCCACCCAATTTCCTCTTTCTACCCACTCTATCTTATGTCCTCCAAGAAGCTTTCTATTTGTACCCAGAAAATTCAACCATCAAGAAGATTAACAGAATCTCCACCAATCGCCAGAAACCCAAAAAAGAATCAGTACAAATCGACCCAACAAATATGGAATATTTGAGTCGGCGAGCGCGGGAATGATGAATGCTTCTTGCTTTGGTTTCATCTGTGTTTCAAAGGAAGACAGACAGAGAGATCGAGACAGAAGTTTTGGGCTCTCCCTTCATGAAACCCAGATCTGCCAGAAGAAAGGAAGAAGATGTTGCTGGAGGTAAATGTTGACAACGGCGATTGGGATCTTCAGAGGTTGTTAGAGATTGGGAGTAGCTTGACCGAACCTTCGCCACCGCTGCCATTTCTCTTTACTCCAATCGACCTGGACCCAAATATATCAACCCACCAAGATGAGCTCGACCTTCTTCTTTCACTTCAGGCTAACCTGCAAATTCCTCATCCGGTTCCCTATGTACACCCTCAATTTCTCTCTTAAATTCTTTGAATTCGGCTTGAATTCTGTTTGATTGAGTTACGCTACCGGCTTTGCTAAATGTAGGGCTTCTATCCGACGAGGAAGGTTCGCCCAGGTGAAGAAGAGAGGCAAAAAGGCGTCGGAGCACGATGAAGAAGAAGGAGGAGGAGGAACTGGGACAAGGGGGTGGTGTGGTTGGCTCCGTCCCTCCCTGGTCTACGATGAGTTTGATGAAAATGGAAGAGGAACAGACAAGGGATCAGGAGGAAGGAGAAAAAAGAACTGAAAATGGCGCATTTATTCTAATCTATTTATCATTTTAGGGTTTTAAGTTTTCATGGTTGGGTTGGGTTGGGTTCATGGACCGGGTTGGGGAAGCTGACGTGGTGGGTTTAGTGATATGGCGGGTTGGGTTTCATTATTTTCGGTCCATAAATATGCTGATTAGGCGCTTTCGTTTGCCACATAAGCACTTAATGGAGTCAATTAACGGAGTTGGACGGAGACTAACAGAGAGTGACCAAACTTGAACTGATTATTTATAATCTTAGTGACCACTAATGGAATTAAATATTTCTAGTGACCAAACATGAACGTTTTTAATAATCTCAATGACCAAACTTGTAATTTACCCTATAAAATAGACTAGTTGGTAAAACACTAGTCCCTATCAATAATTATGATTCAAATATGTGGATTGTAAATTTTTCAGTTCCTCTCAATTAGATTTCTGATATAATACACAATGTCGTCATCCAAACTAATATAGTACAAAAATATTATGAAATACCATGTCAATTGATTTCACATTTAAATTGGTCATTTTTGGCAATACCAGAAGGGTTTGATAGAATTTAAATGTAATAATGCTAGTTAAATATGTTACATTAAGGTGCATTTGGATTAGAGGATTTGGATTCGGGATTTGTGATTTCAAATACTAAATAATTTGTTTGGATACTAACCATATCTGGTTTTTGAATTTGTACCAAATACATGATGTGAATTTGAAATACATATATAGTGCATACTTGTGAATTTTAAATACATATATGTTACATTAAGGTGCATTTGGATTAGAGGATTTGGATTCGGGATTTGTAATTTCAAATACTAAATAATTTGTTTGGATACTAACCATATTTGGTTTTTGAATTTGTACCAAATACAAGATGTGAATTTGAAATACATATATAGTGCATGCTTGTGAATTTTAAATACATATCAAGAACTAGTGATTTGAAATTCCTTTTAACAATAGCTAGATAGTAAAATCTTAGACTAATTAATGTGAGTTCTCGTTTTGACCTAATTAGATGGTCAATAAATTAGGTCAAGAATAAAGCAATCAACTACTCAATTGAAGCAATATATTGACATAATTAAACATCAAATATTCATAACAAGAGATTAGGGTTCATACATAGTCATTCCATTCCTAAACAATCAACTACGTGAGCTAGGGTTCAACCTACACAAATACAAATGGGTTTTAGCCCATCAATGGTAGAACTTGATGTCCTAGAATGATACTAGTTCTCTATGAAGAAACACAGAGCAGGGATTGACAAATCTTGTGGGGGGAATGGCTAGGTAGCATATGTTTGTGGAACGATTCAACTGATGGTCACAAAATACCCTGAAATCCAGTTTAGGGAAGGTGGTAGCGCAGCTATGAATCGTTAGTAGAATGATGAGACTTACTATTTAGGTTCGTAATGGAGGAGATTGGACGTTTGAAGGTTTTGATGGTAAGCTTTGGAGGGTGCATTTGGGTTTGCGGTTAGTAGGCCGAGACAGTCAATTGGGCATGGTATCTATGCAAGCGGATTTCACTTCCGCATTAAGCAAACTGTCAGGAAACATCTTTCCTAGATTACCCCCTGATAATTTTTATGGATGCAAGAAATTTGAAATGAAAGACACACTTTTACCATTTCACCTTTATATATGTGTAGATGTTACTGTGCATTCTTCTAAGGTTTGATAATTCAATGCATGATGGGAGAAACAATAACTTCCTCTATAACTCTACAACTACAACCTCACATGATTATCTATTCTAATGGGAAGTTGTGTACTTCATGACATTGCATATATAGTGACGTGAAGGCCACCACTTTGATGAACACAACTGCATCGGGAAGCAAATCCTAGAAGACATTGGTCATGATGTCCCACTAGAACACATTAACTAGAGGTACCCTATTAGGAAGAATGAAGTGGAAAATGTGTTATGAACACATTAACTATTGACATTTGACACCCAAGTCTTGGATTTGAGAGATCCACGTACATCAAATGAATCTAGAATCAATGTTATTAATGGTTTAAGGTTAATACAGTTTACCTGGTGACCTTTGAATAACCAAGTATACATATTACCAAACAATCGAAACATGAAACATATGCATTTTACCCGATCTCCTCTCTAACCAAAAGGTGATTATGCCTTCACATTAAAGAATTCTCTGAGTTGAAAATTCATAGTAAGTGGATCACTTCATTTTAATAAGCATCCTTTTGAACATGTAACAATGTAACTGAAGAAGGTTGTTTATTAGAATATTATTACATAAGAGGTTTGATAGAATTTATAAGAGAATATAAGAAATCAGAGATGAGCATAGACACAATTCAAATTCGTATGAATAGAAATTCCAGTAGTCTTATCCAATTTCAAGACTCAATGCGGCCACTGTAGATGTCAGACTTGAAGGGATTCAAAGGGGAAATTGAGTCTCGATCTAGTCCCAAGGCATTTCGAGAGATAGTTCTTCCCAATCAATTTGTTAAATGGATGCGACTTCTCATCTCCCTATGAACTTTGATTAATTGAAATTGATAATGAACGAAGCCAACATATACCACGAATCAACACTTGTAGTGTAAGAAAAACTAACCATATATTGATGATTCTCTATGGGCGGAGAATATTACTCTAACCTCTTCAATTTCAGCAATCGGAGCACATGTAACTATGGCGACCACAACCAATGTGCTTGCTCATGACTTGAGTACCTGATGGGACTTCGATTAAAGAAGAAACACCGCAAACTTTTAGTGTTCCGTGGTGCGCTTTCGTCAATCGGAGGGGAGTAGGTTTGTGGATGCGGAGATACCCTCGAGAGAAATGATGATTTTATTTTCGTGGTAAAAAAAACAGCTTCCCTAAATACCCTTGAGAGAATTGTTGTGGAGGCAAGAAATTTGAAATGGAGGTTACACGACTATAAGATATATAGAAATTTAAATTATGTATCAAACTACATATAAAATAATTAAAATATGAAAATCAAAGTATCAAAACACCAATAAATACTTAGTGAAGATTTGGTGGTTAGCTAACCCTTGGATATTGTTGAGATTTTCCGATTTTAGCTTCATGTATGCTTTTTATTTAAAGTGATACAAGAAATCTATGTAGCGTGATTGTTTACGACCCTTATATTTATTTAAAATAAAATGACATTGATTGAAATAGATAATTGTGAAAACAAAAATATCTTTTCTACTTTCATTATCGTTGCATGAAATTTGAAATGAAAGACACACCTTTTTCCATTTCACTAAGATTTATTTCATACAATAATTAATTGAAGATTTTTAACAAGTTAACTTAATGTTCAATGTATTTTACTATGTAACAAGCCACAAAATTTTGAGATGACCATTATTTAGAATATATATTTACTTAAAATGATAAAAATAATTTAATATTGATGCTTTGTTCTCACTCTCAATATTAAATTCTTGAAATATGGAAATTCTCGCTTTCGGTCCACGAATTGGTTACTTAAAGGGGAGCCATTCAAAATTGGTTACCGACGATTCAACGAAGAAACAAAATTGCTGAAATGGGGGACATTTTGACTATTTGCTTTCCATTGGTTTCAAAAACTTCCTTCCCTGAGTTTTCGGTTGAACTTTTTGATACTTTCTTGGACGCCGAATAATTTTATATAATATCTTTAGTTTATACATGTAATCACGAACATTTTATTCGTGACTTTGAAAAACTCTCGGGAGTGAGTTTGAGAGCCAAAAAACTTGCCTGTCAAGAAAACGTATTAATCTCTGGTTGGGTTAGGAAGCTCCGAAAATCAATGCCAACGACTAGTTAACAAAACACGTGAACTTATTTTGATTTTTTAATCGTCACACCATCAAATTAACGAATAAAAATTATAATTGATTGACATATATGATGAAATGAAGTGTATTGGACGGCTAATGACAAAACATGAAATCAAGTTTAATAACTACTAAGTAAGGAAAATATTTTTGATGCAAAGATGAAATGTTTTTTATAGAGCGACCAAAATTGAAATTAGCCTTTAACCTTGCTTTATATATAAAAATAAAAAGTTAGCCAAGATTAGCAAGCACCGACTCCAGCTTCTCTCCCGTTAATATGAGAGCAGATCCGATGAGTAACCTTGTGGTGAGTAACCCCATGCATAATCCAATAAGAATCTGCCACATCAGCGCCTTCTTCTCTCTCCTGAAAAAATCATTAATTTTCTTTCTCTTAATCTTTAACGGATGATTTCTCACTCGTTTTAACTCGGAATTTAATTTTTTTTGCACAATTAGATCATATTAATTGTGCTCTTCAAAATGATATCCACTTTGATATTTTTTGGAACTAAAAAAATTTGCCAGTTATACCATATGGTATGAAAAATATCACCTCATACCTTGATGGTATAGTATGGTATGGAGTTACTAACGAGAGGTATGAAATTTTTTCCCCTAGAAATTTTGAAATCCAATAGATCATGATTAAATCGTTTCTTTTGTGCAAAAATTTCCGAAAATGACTAAATAACGAAGGAGATACCATATGGTATGGAGTTGGTAATGAGAGGGATGAAATTTTTTTTTTCTAAAAAAATATTGAAAATGGATATTATTTTGTAGAGCACAACGAACTCGTTCCATCTTTGAAAAAAAAATTGAAATCCGAATTAGAATGAAGAAATGATCCAATTAAAAAAACTAGGAAAAATAAATTCATTTAATTCTCGACCCTTAGATCTGTAGCCACTTAAAAGAAAGGTCCAAATTTGGTTACTCATTGTTACTCACCCTAAGTTACTCACGCTCCCGTTGGTATAAAAAAATTCTCTCCCGTAGGTCGTACCGCCATTACCCCTCGACTGAAATTCGGGAACCCTTGCCACCACCAGACCCTCGTCGGCCTCCGTTGGATCAGGCGACCAACGCTCGACGGACGTCCTCCGTGCGCTCCGCCTATAACATCCGCGGTCATCTCCGCCGACCCAATTTGAGGTGCGCCTCCGTCGCTCTCTGCTTTTTGTTCCACCCGCAGTTTTTCGCTTCCTTCGCCTTCTTCCTCGTTTGAGCTTCGTCACTTTGCTTTTAGAGACTAACTGCGGGGGTCACCTTCTATTTCCGGCCTCTCTTCACCTATTGATCTGGTGGCTGAACTGTGGTCCACAGTGGTTTTACTACCCCAGTATTTAGAGCAACCATTTTTTATTCACACGGAACTGATCTATCCATAGATTAATTATTTTGTGCAGAGGAACGATTGGAATCATGGAGGAGGGGGATGACTATGTGGAGTATGTTCCTGTTGCAAAGCGCCGAGCTCTGGAGGCTCAAAAAATCCTTCAGCGGAAGGGGAATGCTTCTGCTCTGGATGATGAACTTGAGAAGTCTAAGATTGCTGAAGCGAAGCCAAGTCTTCTTGTGAAAGCAACACAGCTTAAGCGGGACCAACCTGAAATCACCCAGACAGAGCAGCTTGTTCAACAGGAGAGAGAAATGATAGAACATTTATCAGATAGAAAAACCCTAATGTCAGTCCGCGAATTGGCCAAGGGAATTACTTACACAGAACCACTTCCGACTGGATGGAAGCCTCCACTTAGAATCCGGAGAATGTCCAACAAGGATTGTGATGCCATTCGGAAACAATGGCATATTATAGTAGATGGGGATGAAATTCCTCCACCAATAAAGAACTTCAGAGATATGAGATTCCCTGAGCCAATTTTGAAGATGCTAAAGGCTAAGGGGATTGTTCAACCTACTCCGATTCAGGTGCAGGGGCTTCCTGTCATCTTATCTGGAAGGGATATGATTGGGATTGCCTTTACAGGTTCCGGAAAGACTCTTGTTTTTGTTCTTCCCATGATTATGATTGCTTTACAGGAGGAATTCATGATGCCTATTGCACCCGGAGAAGGACCCTTCAGTTTGATTGTTTGCCCGTCGAGAGAACTTGCTAGGCAGACATATGAAGTGGTTGAGCAGTTTTTGGTTCCAATGCGAGAGGCTGGATATCCTGAATTAAGGTGTTTGCTCTGTATTGGGGGAGTTGATATGAGATCACAGTTAGAGATTGTAAAGAAAGGGGTGCATATTGTTGTTGCAACTCCTGGGAGGTTGAAGGATATGCTAGCAAAGAAAAAAATGAATCTGGATAATTGCAGGTACCCAATTCTATTCCTTGTAAATAAGTTAGCGTAAGTTTTCTTATGAACAGGTTAATAATGTTTGGTAAAAGATACAAAAGTACACTATTGATGTTTTCCCTTTAGAACAATAATTTCGAGCAGATTTTCCTGCAATTCCATGAGTTGATAGTCTGTGTACATGGACTCAACTTTCATGGAGGTGGATGTCATGTTAGAGGTTGTTCCGCTTTCATCCACCATTCTGCTTGTTGTTGGTCCCAAGTATTCCCATAATAACAGTTTGCTAGAAGGTGGTAAGTATTATTGAGTTGTGTAGTTGCCACTTGCGAAACACTTAGCAATTACCTAAAGGAATTTTGCTCGATCTAAACTGCATGTCTCGTACTCATTTGATAACCAAATTTTATTTAATTGGTCTTTGTTCTTATAAAACCATGAGGTAGTTTAAGAATCCACATTTAAAATCTTTTATTTCGTATCTCATGATCCCTGGACGTAGGATAATTGATGATCATATGCAGGTCATCTTTTGAGACAGCTATACACTCAGGCTTGGGACAAACATTGTGTAACTTTGCTAGTTATCCAGTTGCTTACAGATAGCAATGGCAGGCATCTGATATCATTGCCATAGGTCTTTAGGATGATAAATCGGAGAAGGAAGTTTATTTGGTGCTACACTTGCTGTTAATGCAATGAACAAGGAGCAGTTGAAAAGTTCCGGGTGCATGTTTTATTTGTTCTCTGCTTCTTAACTTGATGCATTCTCGTGTCTAGTATGGCTAGGACTTTTTAGAGCTGTTATCCTGTCATTTAGCAAATGGGGATAGATTAATCTTTGGGGGACTAGCAGGGTATTGCCTCTTTCCCCCCTCCTATAAGGAGGAGAATACTTTTTCCTTAGCTATTTATTATTTTGACTTCCGTTGCATACACTCTATCTCAACTCTCAAGCCTTCATAATTGCTTACAGAATTACTCTGGTTCGCCTCTGCAGGTACCTAACACTGGATGAGGCAGACAGGCTTGTGGATTTGGGATTTGAAGATGACATAAGGGAAGTATTTGACCACTTCAAAGCACAAAGGCAGACCCTTCTATTCTCCGCCACCATGCCAACCAAAATTCAAAACTTCGCTAGGAGTGCATTAGTGAAGCCTGTAACAGTCAATGTGGGGAGAGCTGGTGCAGCAAATCTTGACGTGATTCAGGAGGTTGAGTATGTGAAACAGGAAGCCAAAATTGTGTACCTTCTCGAGTGCCTGCAGAAGACGCCGCCACCTGTCTTGATATTCTGTGAGAACAAGGCTGATGTGGATGACATCCATGAATACCTTCTCCTGAAAGGAGTCGAGGCTGTAGCTGTTCACGGAGGCAAGCACCAGGAGGATAGAGAGAGTGCGATTTCATCCTTCAAAGCCGGCAAGAAAGACGTCTTGGTTGCTACCGATGTTGCCTCTAAAGGTTTGGATTTTCCCGACATTCAGCATGTGGTCAACTATGACATGCCGGCGGAAATAGAGAACTATGTTCATAGGATTGGACGAACTGGAAGATGTGGGAAGACTGGGATTGCTACAACTTTTATAAACAAGAACCAGAGTGAGACGACGCTCCTAGATCTGAAGCACCTGTTGCAAGAAGCGAAACAGAGGATTCCACCTGTTCTTGCGGAGTTGGATGACCCTATGGAGTTTGGGGATACCATTACTGATGCCAGCGGAGTTAAGGGCTGTGCTTATTGTGGCGGTCTTGGTCATAGGATCCGTGACTGCCCCAAGCTGGAGCAGCAAAGAAGCCAGCAACTGGCCAACACGAGAAGGGATTACTTTGGCTCTGGAGGATATAGGGGAGAGATGTGATATGTTTGTGAACCATATTGTTTTTTTCTTCCTGGGTAGAATGTTTGTGTACGACTAAATGCCCCTCTTTTAGTGACCTCTGTATTCTGAAGTAATGATACACATGTCCTGTCCAACAGCTAGAACGCAGTTGTAGGGCGAGGAACCATTTTAGCAAAAGCACAAGAAGCGGGAGCTTCGAAACTTTATATTTTGTTCTATGTATTGTATTAAAATTATGGGGTTAATTGTAAGGTTGATTATTGAGATTACTATGAGATTACTAAAAACATTCATGTTTGGTCACTAAATATGGTCACTAATTTTAGTAAAACATGTCATGTTTAGCCACTCTCCGTCCAATTCCGTTAAGTTTGGCTGATGAGGGACTGGTTAGACTGCTAACTCCAACCATACCCTTTCTCCTAACCAACCCTCGGAAGAATCGCTCAAGCATAGTGGTAGGATCCTAAGGATCCGAAGGAGAACTCATCCCATCCAATAGAAATGGAAGATTCTCGATTAATATGTTGAGATCTTCTAGCGATTTACATTACATAATAAGATCCGTCTTTCTACTTTTCTCTATTTATGAGTGGACACCCCATTCTTCTTAAAAAAAGAAGATATTTCCGTACTTTTCTATCAGACGACAGAGATCCAGTAATTCCATAGAAATCTAAATAAGTCTGTTCAGTTTCTTCCATTAATCCCAGATATTCTGGTTGTTCTCCAGCGAGGAAGAGGAAAGTGGGTATGCGGGCTTCTTTCGCTTGACTTTTAGTCAAGCTTAAACCTCTCCTAAGTAGCCATACGTGCTATTACTTCTTTTCTTTGGTTTGAATTTGATGAAGAAGACATTTTTTGAGCCCCCATTTATAGAGTCAAAGTAGAGTAATCCCGACATGCGGCACGAATTGGATGATAGTCTGGATGAAGCTACTGCGAAGGCTACGAACTTAGAAATGGAGAACAACTTGAAGAAATGACCTTAAATCTTTGTGTATTGACCCCAAATCGAATTGTTTGGGATTCAGAAGTGAAAGAAATCATTTTATCTATGTTCACCTGTGTCGGTTTGGGGTACGGTCAGTTCACCGGGAGGATCGCCCTCCCAATTCGAAGTTTTTTCCTGGAAGCCTAAACGCCCTTGGTAGAGCCGGATCTAAATGTTGGCTAGGCAAGCGTCCTGTAGTAAGAGGAGTAGTTATGAACCCTGTGGACCATCCCCAGAAAAGGTTGCGTTTGTTAGAAATTCCGACCAATCGAAAGAATTTTGTTCATTTTTTTGAAAAAAGTTTAAAGACGACATTAACAATTTGGATAATATATCCAAATTCATTCCTTCTTGATTGAATTCATTGAACGAGATTCCTATGCCTGCAATAAACAAAGTAAAAAAAGGTCGCAGGAAAGAATACGCTCGACCAATAGGGTTCAGAGGGATAGGCCCTCTCCCTATCGGTCGAGTGGTTTTCTCACCTTTCCCTTCTCCCTTTGCCCTTCGGGCTCATATATTCTAAACCTTCGCCTTCGTCCACCGCCGCTCGCGCGGATGCTTCCCCCTAAGGCGGAACGCTCCCCTACCGATGCATTTTTACATCCCACAGCTTCGGCAGATCGCTTAGCCCCGGTGGACTTGGGAGAAGCCGTAGGTATTATTGCGGGGCAATCCATTGGAGAGCCGGGTACTCAACTAACATTAAGAACGTTTCATACCGGCGGAGTATTCACAGGAGGTACTGCAGAACATGTACGAGCACCCTCTAATGGAAAAATCCAATTTAATGAGGATTTGGTTCATCCCACACGTACACGTCATGGGCATCCTTCTTTTCTATGTTATATAGACTTAGATGTAACTATTGAGAGTCAAGATATTATATATAACGTGACTATTCCACCAAAAAGTTTGTTTCTTCCTCTTTTCAAAAAAAAAAAAGGAGAAATTCACTGTGACACGTTCGTTAAAAAAAAATCCTTTTGTAGCAAATCCTTTATTAATAAAAATAAATAAGCTTAACATAAAGGCAGCCGGCAATACGCGGATACACCCGAAGGTCCATATCATACATGCTCGTAGTATCATAAATAGCTATTCCGGGTATTACCCATCCACCGGGAGAATTTATAAACAAATACAAATCTTTGCTCTCACTCTCTATACTTAGATATACCATAAGACCAATAAGTTGATTCGAGATCGCGCTATCAACATCTTGACCTAAAAAAAGTAATCGTTCTCGATAAAGTCGGTTGATTAGGATAAAACTCTATCCTTTAGGAGCCGTACATGCACCTTTTAAATGCATACGGTTAGACGCATAGAATTAGCTAAGCATTTTATTCGAACAAATATAGAACCAGAATGGATGGTTTTATGTCTATTACCAAAAGGTGGAAATTAAATATATAAAGGGAATTAAATATATAAAGATGGAAATTAAATATATAAAGGTAATTCCAAAAAAAAAGGAAATTATGTGAAAAAAAGAAATAAACGGAAGCTAATGGGGAAAGTAATAACCGGTGTTGCCCGTGCCCCCTTACCTATTATATAATAAAGTTTCAAAAGTATAAAGCTCGGGCCAAGCCTAATCTATAATTTTTTAGTTTTTTTCTTAATCAACGGCTAATGATGATCTTAATGTAATCTAACGGTCTAAATGTATGCAAGTTATTTAACTTGAAATTATACCAAAGTTACTGTAGGAGAATCATTATTTGAAAAATAATATCCTTCTAACATTTCTTGAAATAATCATTATTTGCAACGAGCCTTAGAAAAGTAGAAATTGCAGTAACATGTAGCTTTTTTAAGCAACAGACACATTATTAAATTTTATGGCCTTTGTTGTTTTTAAACTCGCATGCTTTCATTAACTATTCGACCTCAGTGGCTAGTAGTAATATATCATTTTTCAACAATTTAACGATGGCAATAGGCAGCTTATTATAGGAAGTTTACTCTCTCTCTCTCTCTCTCTCTCTCTCTCTCTCTCTCTCTAACAATTCTCTCTAAGCGTTTCTAGGTTTGCGATGGCCGCCGTCGTTGTCAGAGCCTTGCTGGCCGCCGTCAGCGGCGGCAGGTCCTGGGCATCGTTGTTTCATGTGGCGGAGGAGAATCGGTTGGATTATTTTGAGCCTGAGATGGTGAATGGTTCGCTTCGGATCACCAAGTCGGTTATTGAGGAGGGGGCGAAGAAGTGGGAGCATAGTCTGGTCGGGCAATTCCTGGTTGCTCCCCCATCGCTCTCGGCACTTCGGAATTGGGCAAACTGGATTTGGGGTAGAGATGGGACTGTCAAGGTGTCGTTGCTTGAAGATCATCTCGTTCTTTTCCAGTTTTCCACTGAAGAGGTTTGTCGCTGGGTATTTGAAGGGGGGCCGTGGCATTTCAAGGAGAAAATTGTTTGTCTCAAGAGGTGGGTTCCAGGGATTAGAGCGTTGGATATTGATTACACTGTGGTTCCTGTGTGGATTAATCTCTCTGGGCTTCCAGCTGAGTTAGTTTTGCGTGAGGGTTTGGGACGGATTGCTAGTGCTGTGGGTAGACCTATGTGTATGGATCATTCAACTACGTGGCGAGAACGTGTGGGTCGAGCAAAAGTTTGTGTGGAGGCTAGTGCGAAGAAGGCAAGGGTTGACTAAATTAGTGTTACTCCGGATGACATGGCTGAATTCTTCATTGGAGTGGAATATTGTGGCCTTCCAAAATGTTGTGCTAAGTGTCAGGTCTTTGGGCATGACTGTGCAGTACCAGGACCAGGGCTGCAAACAAAGAAGGTTTGGAGGGTGAAGCAGACTCAGGTAGCTGTATTGGATAAAGTAGCAGAGGTAGAGGTGGTAAGGGAGTCTGGAGTGGCAAAGATGGATAAAGGGAAGGAAGTTGTGGTTGATGCTACTCCTCCAGTAACTCCTAGTGCCTTACCTACTCAGGAAGAATTTAACAAGGTTATTAATGGGGTTAAACCCAAATCTAAGAAAGCTTCTTCGCCTGTTATCCATTCAAATGCATTCGAGCTGTTGTGTGGTAGCAGGATGGTCAATTTGCAACCTCCACCAAAGAAGGCATCTAGGGAGGGGTTACTCAGTCAGGGAGGAGCCACTAAGGTGGTGAAATCTCGTTAATGACAGTCCTCGTATGGAATATGAGGGGCTTTAATAGCCCTAGGAAGCATGAGGCAGTGCTTCAGTATCTGAAAATGAATAAGGTAACTTTGTTTGCTTTATTAGAAACTCGAGTACAAAAAGAAAAGAAAATAATGGAAATAAGGCAGAAGTTTGTTGGATACCAGTTTGCAGATTATTATAGTAAACACAAATTGGGTAGAATCTGGATTGGTTGGAGTGATGAGGTTACGCTGAGGATCTTGGCTACAGAAGAGAACTATATACATGCTTTAGTGTCTCTTGAGAATAATGATAAGTTTTTCTTTACTGCGGTTTATGGTTCAAATGAGGAGAAAGAGAGGCTTAGTACATACAAAAGTTTGGGTAAATGGAAGGTCCAAGGTTTTCCTTGGATGATAGGAGGGGATTTCAATGCTTTTTTGCACCCATCTGAGCCTTCAAATGAGGTGTCCATTTCTACTAGCACTACTGATTTTAGGGAGTGGGTTAGACACATGGAAATCCTGGATCATACAGCAACTAGACCATTATTTACTTGGTCAAATCAGCAGCAGAATAATCCCATTGTGAGAAAACTGGATAGACTGATGGTCAATGTTGAGTGGTTGGCTGCTTTTCCTGATTGTGTAGTAGCATTTCTGGCTCCTGACTTCTCGGATCACTGTGGCATTCTGGTTACGCCTCGGCTTCCAGCTAGGAAGTTACCAAAGCCATTTAAGTTTTATGATATGTGGCTTCAGCACGAGTCTTTCTCTGTGCTCTTAGAAACGAGCTGGGCATATGAGGTCTCTGGTATGGGGTATTAAGCTGAGGTTGAACATACTGAAATAGGAATTGAAAACTCTGAATAAGAAGGAGTATTGGGATATCTCTGGGAGGGTCATGGA